CCTGGCGGGCGGCTACTGCCCGCTGACCCACTTCCAGTGGCAGAGCCTGGGCGCGGGGGCGCGGGGCTGCTACGTCCCCGCTCGCTGCTTTTCCGCTGAGAAATTCTGCAGGTACTTCGGTCACCCGAACACGAGGCTGCTCCCCCTCTTTGCCGTCATGAGCGGGAACGACTACATCGACCTGGCCGCCCTCGAGGTGTTCTTCAGCAAGGTGCGCTTGCCGAGGGGGTGCGCAGGGGGGAAGCGGGGGAAGCACGTCCGCCTTCAGGGGCTTCTGAACTGGCTGTCGCAGTTTGCTGAGCCCACCGAGGCTGTCGACAATGTGCTGAAATACCTTAAGAAACACCAGAGAGAAGAAATCAAGGAGCTTCTGTGCACTTCAGTGGAGGATTATGCTCCGTCTGATGTGAATCTTGAGGACTTTTTTCAGAAGGGAAAGTATGAATGTGAGGCTGCCAGGAAAGCAAGCTTACCGCAGTGGGTACTCGATGCTTTGGCAAAAGGTAAGCTGGCTCCATTCATCAGCGACGCCCTGATGCTGAGAAGTACCTTCCTCCATGTTCAGGTAGAGAATATGCAGAGACCCAGCGCACATAGCACAGCTTTGCCCATTCGACAAGTTATCTATGGACTGCTGCTGAAAGGATCGCAAAACACAGAAGCTGCTTCTCCAGGCAAGCAGACCAGCAAGCTGCCAGTTGTATGTGAATTTGACAGACTCCAAAAGACACTTAAAAAAACATTTGTTGAAGCAGCAAGCCTACCCACAGATTTTTGTGATGATCATTTTCCTTTGGACAAGTTAGCGGAGGTAAATGGTTGTCACAACAGAGCACAGTTAACAGTGTTTCACGAGTGACAAAAAATAGTTGGGACTTGTGTTTGCCAACTGGTCGCTAAATGTGATGCCTGAACTAAGCCACTTCAGTAAGTAACTACTTAATACAGAGGTACTTACAGGGCTCTGAGCTTGGCCTGTGATACCGGAGAAGCTACATAGATTGCCTTTGTCATCTTCCCTTTCCGCCACCCCACAAGCGTACCAAGACAAATTACATGAACAGTTGGTTGAGTGTCTATGTAGTCTTGCCTACATTTTACATTCTAAGCCCCTCTTTCATCCTGTGTATTCTGTTACACTAATACTTGCTTCTGTAATTACAGGAAGGAACTCAGTTTCATGAAGTTTAGAAAAATGCAGTTTAATACTACAAAATTTAATTTATATTTGATCAAGCTATGGATGTTTCAGAGCAATGTTCTGAAAAAAATCTGACCCATGCTTTTCTACTAAAAATCACCATCATTTCATGTGTGAATCTTGCAGCTGCCCAGCAATTTTACCTGCCGCAAGTATGTGTCCTGCTAACATGGACCCCTGCTGCTTGCCAGACAGAACAGCACCTGAAAAACAGCTTGTAAACAAAGGAAAGTTGTACTAGGTTAGTTCCAGTCACCATTAGCAATTCTGTACATTTAAATTCTAAAGATTAAGACGGTAACTCTTGCTGTGAATGGGAAGTCATCTCCCATTCCTAAAGCTGCATAACCGAGGTTTTGTGTGCAGTAATTTCTGAAACATCTGGAAATACAATCTGTGCCTTTTAATGCTGCATATTTAAGCCACATGCTCTGTCCCTTTTGGCATTTTCAACTGTTGACACATCTCCAGGTGTGGGCTGTGCTGTATGTTTTTATCACTTGGTGGCTATTTCATGTAAGAACCAAGTCTATCCCTACTATGACCATTAAATGCTACAGATAGCTATGGATCCAAAGGCCTACAAGACAGGTTATTGTTACAGGCCTTTTAAACAAGCAGTATGCAAACACTGAAAAGAGTTTGAAAAATCATGTTTGGGGATTTTAAGAAACATTAATGACACCTTAATTTAGTCTTGGTATGTATGCTCTTTAATGAATTTGAGCTTCCACTATTGTAACAACTGGCCTTGTGGGAATTACCGACTCAACAGAAAGAAGAAGAAAGGTCATTCTGCATTTAAAGTACTCTCGGCAAAACTGATTTCAGTTTGTCTTCCACTGTGCGCACATGTGCCTAGGAACAGGCAAAACCATCCTTATCAAGGTTCACAAGGCACTTGAATTACAGTTGAACAGCCTGCTGTGATTCTGCTGCATGCATGAAATTATGGACAAAGGTTATAACACCAGCTTTTAGAAGTTAAATAGCACAAAGAGAGAATGTGCTAGGAATTAATATGTTGCAAGTAAAAAATGCAAGCTTCACACTTAAGGTTTCATTGTGGTAAGCATGTTTTCAACGTATCAAGAACAGACATCACCATTACATCTCACAAAGCAAGGGTAACTTTTAAGAGGCACAAAATGAAGGTGTGGTTTGGTTTTTTTGTTCGTGGTGTTTTTTTGTGGTTTTTGGGTTTTTTGGTTGGTTTTTTTTTTGTTTTGTTTTGGTTTTTTTTTTTTTACACAGGAGTTTATATTAAGTAACCTCATTTGAAGAAGACTCAAACCTCTTAAAAAAAAAATCTAACCTCAGGCAGTCGTAAAAAACTACTTTTATCCTTCTACGTAACATTTAACTGTGTAGTTTTTAAAGCTTAAGTAGTACTTAAAAAAAATAATGACCTGTTCAGAATATCTCTGAAAATTATTTATCAAAACCATGAAGTACTAGCTAGTTTAAACACAACCTTATTTGCCTTTTGGAAATTTTTCACAGCAAATAAAATCTCTTACCTTTATTTTTCCACTCCAATTTTTTAATTTATTTTCAGGTGCCCATGTCATGCCGTCAGATGATTTTGCTGGAGACTCTAGGAGTGAAAATGAGTTTCCTAGAACCTATCCCCAGTCACTTACAACTCCCTGTTGCTGTAACGTGTTACTGGGTACGTTGTTCAGAACCAAAAGTTAAGTTGCATCAACTAAAGGCTTTACTTCTAATGATAATATCTGGAGAACTGCACAGGATAACACATGATCCAGGTATGTCTCCAAAGAATACAATTTTTTTGTATTGTATGCTATGAAGAATCTATACCGTAATTCATTTTTCCTCATTCATGGCGAGTAGTCTAAATTCAGGTGAATTAGCATTGACTTAAACTATATCCTCAGGTATCATAATCTTTGCATTGATACAGAGCAGAGAAACAGTGCTAGCCATCAATTTAACATTTTACATAGGTAAAACAGTACTTTGCCATCTTGTAAAACATTAAATTGCATTTATAAATGCTTTCTTTAAGATTAAGATTAATTTAGCTATAACAGTTAGAAAACAGTAAGTGTAACATACTCATGCATCACAAGAGAATAACTACTGTTGATGCATTCAGATTGCGGGTTTTTTTTTAGAAAAACTCAAGAGAGAAAAATCATCTGTACTTAAAAATGCCGAGTTGCATAGGCACCCTTTACCTGCCTGTGCATTGTGAAAATGTGAAAACACTAAATGATCACAGAAATTGTTTCAGTAATATCTATACTGATTAGAGTTATGGCAGCATTTCCTCTAGAGTCCTTCATTCGATGGCAAAAATTTCGCATGCCAGGGTTATACAGTTTTGGGTTCTAGTGTATATATTCTATACATAAGACTGACATGGTTGCCATCTGTGTCCCAGGTGGGTGGGAGTGAGACTGAAGTCTTGTTTGTAATCAGCCCACTCACAGAGCAGCATAGCAGATCGCCTAGCAAATAGAATTCCCGATTTCACAATTTCAGATTCTCATGGATATTCATACTTGAATTTTTACTCAATTTTATGTCTTAAAGTTCAGTTTGAGACATTTGAAAACATTATTAATGTTTCCTGAAATAGAACTGGAGGTTTGAAGATCCTGTACATTGCAGATACCTTTTGTGCTGTTCACAGCAGAACATTTATTTGCATGCCTTTTTTATTTGTAACCTAGATCCCACAATTTTACATGCTGAAGATGACAGTATCGCATATAACGAATTTCTAAAATGGAAGGAAAAGAAATTGCAAAATAAAGACTTTGATTTAGATGCTGCACACAGTTTTTGCCAGTGGCAGTGCTGTCTTCAGATGGGATTGTATCTCAACCAGCTACTTTGCACTCCTCTCTCTGAGCCAGACCTAAGCAGGTAAGTATGTTTCAGATGTCTCCTTTCCACACAAGCCCCTGATGCAATGTGTTCACATGTTTTTATTTTCTGTGTCAAACTCCTTTGGCCAGTTTTACTGCATTTGAACTCCTTTCTTTAAAGACATTAATATGAAGAAAAATACTGAGTAGAATAGGTATCCCTTAGGAGCCCACTGCTCAATACTGTATGTAGTTAAGATGTGGTTTTTCATGAAGCAGCATGTTTCTGTACCTGTCCTGCTGAGGTGTGATTCTAAATGAGGATTCTCTCCTTCCTTTGAGCAGGCTTTACAGTGGGACCCTTGTGCACAGACTATATCAAGAGCTTAAATCAACACCTTCAGTGGAAAATCTGTTTAGTTTATCTCCAAAAATGACTCAGCTCTGTCAGGTTTTGTTAAATACAGTGGAGTCGACTGTATCTCCAGATTTCTTTCAGAAGATGACCAAGACCTCATCAGAGTCCTGCAAAAAGAAGAAAGCATCTAATAAGAGAAAAAAACCCATCAGGTGTGCTATATCAGAAACTCAGCATTTATGCAGTGTTAATCGGTTTGCATCACTTGGGGTGGATGACTGAAAGCATTATTCCTGGAATAGCTTTTAATGCCATACAGATGGAAGAAGCTACGTTAAAATATGTGACTGTATTGGAATTTGCTCAGCTGTTTTCACACAAGTTCCTGATTCTACCTTTACCAGCAATTCTTGCTTTGGGGAATCTTTTATTTACTTTTTTTGTAATTAATACTTTTTATAAAGAGGTGCTGTATAAAAGTTGTGTTCTGTTTTTCTTTAAAGGTTTTCAGTCTAATTGAAAGTGAGAGCAAAGTCATTCAGCATTTCAGAACTGGACTGTTCTAGAGGAATTCTTTTCCTGAACATTTACAGTTGGCTATCCCTCCATCTCCTTGAACAGTTCTAATTTAAAAAAAAAAAAATCTGATTTTTAAGTTTATGTTAGAGGAACACAGTGATTGCAGTCTCACAGATCAGATTAAAATGGAAATTGACAAGTCTAAAAATATTGTAGAATCAGGCTTTACAGGTGGAGTATCAGTACTTTTGCGGAGAGCTAGCTTTACTCAGTGACAAGTAAGCTGTCCTTGCAGTATTATAGTATTGAAATATACTCCAGGAGAAACTTCAGCTTCTGCGCCCCCCACGCTGTTTGAAGTAAGAGCTAAATGCCTGCATGCACACACAAAGCTATCACAAGGTACCAAGTTTCACAAGTTTGCTAATGCAGAGTAGTTGTGTGCAACCTTCTGCCATTAAACTGTTGTCACTCAAGTTAACTTTCCTCTAATAGCTAAACTTACAAACCTGTGGACACTAAGTTACTTGACAAACCCTATCAACATGGTAATGAAAAACAATTTGTACTTTAAAAAACTCCTACATCATCAGTGTTTCTCAGTGCTTTGTATTAGCTAACTTTCCAGCAAAATTAGTCAATTTACATAAATGCTTTTCTTAGAAAACTGTTGGTTTTCCCATGTCTTCCCCATGAGAAATCAAATTACTACATTTCTGGTTTTTCTCCTCAAGAATCCATATACCTTTTATTACATTTAGGAAAGTAATGATTTCCACCTTTAATCATTAAATTTTGCCCATTACTTACCAGAATTCAAGCTTGATTCCCACATTGTGTGCTCAGTTTCCAGTCCTGTCTCCTATCTGACAGCTATCCACATGGAAGTAACACACTAGATCTTGGGACTTACAGGAAGGATCTCCAATACACAGCTTGTGTCTTGATACTGCCATAATATATTCAATGAGAAAAGAACAGATTTATAACATCTATTACATTCATGAGAAAACTATTTTTGAGATGCAGTCTGGGGTAGTATTTAACATTTTTTCCAGTGCAAAACCTGCTACTTATTAAACTACCAGCAATGGCACCTATGCTCAACCATACAGCAAGTGACTAGAACTTCACAACCCATTTCTAAATACTTTTATTTGCAGCAGTCTACAAAGTCACATTTCCATGAGGCAGCTTTATTTAAAGTTGAAAGTGGTTAAAGTTCCTGATTTTAGTAACTACAACTTAAATCCTTAATCATCCAAATCATCTGATCCGTTATGATCCCATGTGTTTCATTTTATCAAGTCTGAGTTTTTAATAACCAGAAACAGTCACATTTAAAATAACTCTTAAATATAAAGATACAGGCCTGTTTGATTCCACCTTGTTAGTGCTGTGAGAGATCTTACTTTACTCTGAATCTCACATTGGAAAACTGCTGGAAAACATAAATTCTTGAGACTTGCTGAGCTTCAATTAGATAGTTTGGAAGACTGGCATAAACTCAAATATTCTACTTTCTGATAAAAACACTGCTATGATCACATGGCATTTTGAGAACACCTTTGGAAGTGCTGGCTCCATTAAGAATTACTCTACTGGAACTGCATTCTCAATGCAGAATTCAGCTGCCCTTTGTTGCTGATATAATGAAACACACCTCATTGCAAACACCAATCCTGTATGCTGAAGAAAATAATTACTGATTCTAGGGTTACTATGCACTCCCATTTGCCTTTTTGAGTCATTATAGGTTTACAATCTTCTTTGTAGAAAAAATAAGAAATGAAGGGCCTTTACTTACTAAAACTGAAAAGTTCTTCGTTCCATGCTTTAGCAGAGCAATTGAATTCCTTGGTTGCTGTCTATTTTCACCCCATGTGAAATGCCGCCTCTTTTTTTCCCTTTTGAAAGATCTCACTATTGATTCAATTGCTCTGGAGAAAAATCTCTCAAAATTGCTGCTTGATAGTGGTAATCATCAAGAGTGGAGCCAAAAACATGGCAATGGAATTTAGTCCATGCACTTTTTATACATAACGAGACTGAGGTAGATGCATTACTTGTTACTGTTTCATCTTCCACTGGAAAACACAGAACTTAGTTTGACATATTTAAAGTGAACTGCATTCAACTGAGTTGACCCTGTAAGACAGCAAAATTGTTCTAAAGAGACTGACATTTTATTTCTTGTCTAGACTGCCATACCTTGTACAGCAAGTGAGACTTTTGGTGGGAAAGGAGTACTTCAAATTTGTTTAAGGACTAGGCAGTAACACTTCCAAGCTAAGACAACAGATTTGCGTTCACCTGCACTTCTGTACTTACCTGATTTCTGGGACTTCATGACCAAGTGCAGAGCACAAAGCAGTCAAATCCCACGGAAGAAATATTTTTTACAATGAGGGTGGTGAAACACTAGCACAGGCTGCCCAGAGAGGTGGTAGAAGCCCCATACCTGGAAACATTCACAGTCAGGTTGGATGAGGCTCTGAGCAACCTGATCCAACTAAAGATGTCCCTGCTCACTGCAGGGGATTGGACTAGATGGCCTTTAAATTTCCCTTCCAACCCAAACTATTCTATGTTTCTATGATTATATGAAAGGTATAGTTGCTGTACTTTTTCAAACCCTGAGATTGTTCAAGAGATTCTTCATCAGCATGCACTGTCAGTTTTTACTATCAGTCTTTAACTGAAGAATACTAAGGATTTTATTAATAAACTATTCTGAAACTGTATTGAAATACTGAACATGCTACAACACTGAACAACTACAGCCCCACTTGCCAAAGACAGTAGTAGTTCAACAGGAGGAACACTGACAAATCTGTTCAACTTCTGAAAGGCAGAACTGCTGGCAATAAGAAGCTTTTGCTTGAAGATGTGAGAGTATTTCTGTAACAGATCATCTTGTTCAGGCCCTACCAGCTCAGTGGTTTACATAACATTCTGCAGGAAGAGACGAGGGCCATACGTTGCAGTCTTTGCCTTTACACGGTTACATCTCCAGCACATGGGTAGTTCAGGCAATATGTGCATATTGAGCAGGCCCAGGGTTGGCCAGAGCAAGGGACAAACTACATGTGTAAAGCAGACTCAACGGTGCGCTCATGTCCTGTTTGCAGCCCCGCTTCCTGACCAAGTCTGCTAATCTCCAGAGGAAAAAAGAAGAGAACAATTAAAAGTGACCTCTTAGCAGAGAAATTCATACAGCACTTTTCAAACTGCCTTGTTTTCCATCAATTCCCCAGATTTTGAGGATGGCACGTTGTGCAAGCCACAAAGTGCAGAGATATCCCAGTGCCTGTTTACAACAATTCCTCATTAACTGACAGGATGACCACTGGTCAGCATGGCCCAGAGCCAACAGCAATGCTACAATTTCAGGCTACAGTGTGAAAAGATGTGTATCCACATGCTTTCAAGCAAAAGAGATACCACTCGGTCTCCAACTCCCCCTAGAGATCTCAGGCATCCTCTTTTCAAGATTCCCTAGGTGATTGTTCCTTGCATTTCCTCAAGGGATGATGAATCCTGCTCTGATGAGAAGACACTAAAGGCAAAAACTGCAAGTCTATTTTCAGGAAGAACACCATTTCGAATTAGTGAATATTAGAGTATTCAGACAGTATCATATATTAAAAATACTTTTAACATTATCAAACCATAAATCTATTATAATGCTTTTCTAGCCACAAAAAGTAATTCTGTAGGTTAAAATTTAAGTTACACTACCAGTAAAAAGTTTATTTTTTATGATCAGAGTGGAAGAAAGAAGAGGAAGGAAAACCAAACTTCTTTCAAAGAAAGGTGGGGGATTTTTGCCATTAGTGAGGATTAGTGCATTCATTTTCTAATTCAGCACACTACAAATCATTTCCATAACAGTACTGTCTTACAATCACTCAAGTGATCTAACAGTCCTAAGATAAAGCAAACATACATTTTTGTATCTAAAAGTATATCAAAACAAGCATGCTAGTCTGGTGTAAACACTAGTTTCTTTTAAAACAAAGAGACAACACACTTTTAAGAAAAGCAAACATTTACTTCAAATTGCAGTATAGGCTTTTCAATCACAGAAAAAGAAAAGAAAAACAGTGATCTGACAGCGGTCACATCCTGTGCAAAAAAAACTCGGGATACAAAAAAAACCTGTAGCACAAGGTACTTGAGCCGCTTACACATTGCAGGATAAAGTAAATAAATACAGTAGCTAGAATATGGCACTCTTGTGACAGACTCTAAACCCAGTGGAATGCCTCTGAAATATTTTTTTATCCTTGTATTAGTAGCAAAGTCCCACCACCATAAAAGTAAAATAGTACAATGTTTTAAATAAAAACAAACTAAAATATTTATATCTAAGAGAAGGATTTTACACAGTTATATCTTTTAAGTGCAGAAAATGGGACTTGGGCTTAGTTCTTTCTTTAAATTACAAATTACCCCCGCCCCCCCCCCGCCCCCAAATCCTGTTCAATCGCAAAAGTAAATCTATGTTTGAGGAAAAATGTTACCAAAGTTGCATAATTTCATTTGTTACTCCCACAGTTGGAAGTTAAATTCTAAACAGTCTTGAAACATGAATGTTCACCATTAGCCAGTGAAACAAAGGACTTGTCAAAAGCCCTCGGGATTTCTTTATCCTCCAAATATTGTTTTGCTTTCTCCTACATCTTTAGACAGCAATCCCTATGTTTGCAAACAAAAGAATGCAATATGCATCATACATCAAGAAAAGACGAAGTTGATGAAGAAGAACTTCCACGTTTCTGGATCTTTTCCTTGCTTCTTTCAAACTTCTTTATGATCTCAGTCACTATGCACACAGAGGAAGTGAGTCCCAGAAGAAACAGTAAATCTGGAAAGAGATAATTAGCCTTTTTAAAAATTTGCTATTTAAGGGGGGCAGACTTACAAAAGAACAAGAGTTGCAAGACTTTCAAATTGT